TGGGCTGAGGGCTGTCAGGCCTGCCTGACGCTGTGGGGAAGGCGCCCCTGCCTCCAGCCGGTGAGGGGGTGGGCGGCGACGGGGGAGGACGGCACAGGCCCGGCTGCTCAGCTTCCCCCGGGACGCCTGGGCCCGGCCGCGCTGCCCCGGGAGGGCGGCGTTTGGGTGGGAATGGACAGATTTGCCTTCTGGGGCCTCGGGGCCTCCCGAAGCCGGGAGCCGCATCGCCCGCAGGTGCTGCCCCGCGGGTCTCCCTCGTCTCAGGGGTGCCACGAATGGCCCAGAGACAGAGCGAATCCCACAGTAAAGGGAACTGAGCCGCCCCCTCTTCCTTCTCTAACCGTAATCTTTCCTCCTTTTTTTTTTCCCCCCCCTTGGTGTCTTACCCATCACCTGCCTTTTAACGCCACGATGCTAATTCCTACTGCTGTCTTCAAAACTAAGCCCTTAATCCAGCGGCTTTCAACGCTGACCTGCAGAGGACTTGCGTGGTGCCGAAGCAGCGCTGGCCGATCACTTGGCTTACCTCCTGCTCTGCTGAAACCGCCTTTGGAAACACCCAAATGCGTTGAAGGTTTAGTTAGGATTTTCCAGCTAAGCCATCAGTTATAGGGCCATTATGGTCAGTAATAAGCATCTAGTTCAGCAAAGCATTTAAACATGTTAAACTTTGTGCATTTTATTTGGCAGGAGTATTCACCTGCGCCATCTCTTACTGTTGGATGAAGGGCTTGTGACAGGAGGCAGTTAGCACAGGATGAATTTTAGAGGAGATGGTCCACAACAAAATCTCCTAATTACAATTCATTCCCTTCTGGTTTAATGTAAAACTCCCTTTTGGAATTCAAAAGTGCAGATGAAAAGAGGAGTAAAAAGAGGTTCCTTTTTTTCTTTCTCCCACACACACATGTGCATGCACATCCTATAAGGAGCAGATTTCAGTCCTGCAGAACATATGATCTAATTTTAAACCACTGACAAGATATATCTGCTCTTTAAAGCATACTCTTATTTTAGAATTATTTGAAATTATACTTAAAGGAATACTCATTCTAATATAGCTAAGTGTAAATTACATTTGCAGTCCATATATCCTAGTGATGTAATGCACTTTGTCTATAGTCACCTTTAATAATGATAATATCACATGTGGATAAGAGAGAAAGTTATATTTTTTTTTCTTGTTGCATGGAGTTGAAGAGGATATCCACTGCTTAAGAATAATTTACTTGTACTGAACATTCCCTCGAGTGAATAGCCTGTGAGATTATTTAGAAACCGCATATATTGGGCGACTTAGAAGCTGGTATTTACGGTTTAGCACAGCACAGGGAGTCTGTGCTTCCAAGTCTGCACTGAACAAATACCTAAAGATGCATCGTTTGCTGTGGATAAGTGAGAACCAGGGCTTTTGACAGGAGCAGCTGTCAGGACTGAGCTAAGCTAACATGGGATCAGTTACATGGGGAGATATCAATATCAACATAAATAAACAAGAATATTTTTTTTTAACAGCGCGCCTGTGCTGATGCTCTTTACCAACTGTCACGGACTGCTCTAAAGGAAAGGTCAGTTCCCTGATGGGAATTCGCTTCCCCTACTGTAGCCTGACTATTAATACCTATCTAAATCACACTAGGCCTGCTAAATGGCCACCTTCACACGTTCTTTGGGTTAATCAAATATCCCTTTAATGTATTTGCATAGTAAGTTCCTTCTATTTCCTGATCTCTTCATAGTCCTTCCAAATACCCTTCTCCAGTAGCACCCACCACTCCCCCACCAGCTTGTCTTCCACTAACAGCCCCAGAAGCTGTTGTTCTTAACCCAAAGGTTTGCCAGGAGCAAAAAGCCAAATGGGTTAGGCACAACTCCAGCTGCTGGAAGTCTCTCCCTTATCTCAGAGGCAGAAGCCCCTCTTTTTCCCATCTCATCGGTTTGCTCTGTGTTTGTGCTCTCTGCGTTACCGAGTCAGAGGGAGAGGATGAGAGGTTAGCTGGAGGACTTTCTCATTAAGGGTGCCAGGTTGGTTGTTCAGTCTTGTACAGCTGCACCGCAGAGGGTTCAAAGAGCCTTTATTTATCCTGTAGGTCTTCCTCCTGCAGTCAGTTCAGACCTGCTCCTGAACAGGAGGGCTTGTGTACAGCCAGGTCCAAAATGAGACATAAAGAGGTTTTAAGCTGGTGCAAATGTGCATCTCCTTATGGCCTTGTAAAAACTATGCTGCGGGACCCAAAGCCTACCATTCATTGCCCAGATCCAGCGAACTGGCAATATGGAAAGATGGTATCCTGTTAGATTAAAGAAATCCACAAAATGTTTTATTTATGGGATGTTACTAAGGATTGGAAGAGATGTAGGAACCTTTGGTCATTGAGGGTTTATTTTAATAGTAAAGTGCACTGATGATTCTGGTCTATCATTTGTAATCAGTTGACGGTCAGAAATCTGTTCAGTTGTGACCAGTGCAATGTGAAAATGGACTGCGAGTCCCTGAGACAGAAGATTACTGTGATTGTGTAATGTTTCCTCTGTTTCTGCCTCAGTTCTGCCAAAGACACTGCTTCAAGCCATCCACCAGTGAGGATCAAGAGGCATCTGACCACTGTCCTGCCTATTTCTGAGTTGTTACAACTGTCGCAATTGCTGCGTGCAAAGTACCTGTTCACAAAGGGTCTCAGTTGATTGCATTACCTATCAAGCTAGAAGTCTGCATTTTGCTGTTGCATGAGCTAAACCTGAGTCTAATTACAGTGTAGAAAAAATAGCAGTACAAAATGTTAGCAGTTTTTAACAGACTGGAGTAAGTATAACCTACTTTCTCCAAATATGGCCTGTACAAAAAGATCTTGGTTTATCAGAACTGTTTGAAAGGCTAGAAACATCAGACTTACTGCATTGCTAAAACTGATTGGAACGAAGGAAAGACTGTTGTAGCTGTGAAATGCATTTAAAGACTCAGTTATTTATCAATTTTTGTCCTAAGCTAATTAGGTGATACACAGAGTATACTCACTAAGAGTAGGTGCTAAAACTTTGAGAATGATGCATTGTATTTCTCTCATAAAACAGAAATAAAATGTTTATCAAAATCATTGCTTATGGTATTCAAAAACACATGAAAAATAAAGTGTGTTTAAAGTAAAAATACTCTTAGTTTTAACTTGATTACCTAAAGAAATAATGTTCTTGCAGTCATATTTTTTAAATTTGTCTGATGAGTCCTCTCTCTCTGCCAATAACTTCTGATCCCATGAGGTCATTTCAGCTAAGTTTGGCAGCAGCGTGAAGGGCTCAAAGTTTCTGCAAGTTTCTACAAATGTGAAACTCACAGCTGGATCAAAGAAAGCAAGTGCTGGGGAAAAGCTGCACAGTGACTTCAAGAGTTACATGGTCTCTTTGGTCTTCCATCTGGCCACTTATATTGGCCAGTAAGTGTAAATATAGCCCAAAACAACTAGAGCATGCGCTGCTGCCTCCCTACCGAAGAGACAGGGAACAGTGGAGGGGACTAGTGGGGGGAACTCTAAAAGTCAAGGGGGA